TATATCTGTGGAGTGTATATATATGTGGAGTATACATATATGTGGAGCCATCTGTGGAGTGTATATGTATGTGGAGTATACATATATGTGGAGCCAACACTATTAAAAAACCCCAACTCCCAAACCTCATTAAAAGCTCATTTTCTTCAGATTATTTCTCACTTCAATACAGAGGAGTTCAAACAAGTCTCTGCAATTCAACAGCTACATAGCCTCCAGGAACCCACAACATGTTTGCACATGAAACATTTGCTTTCCTGTCACATATGGCATGACTGTCATGAGCCTAACAGCTCAGCTTGCCAATACTGTTACACCTCAGCAACTATAATTTGACAGCAGCAGGAGCAATAGCTAAACTGTAGCATTTTGATGGCAGATTAATCCTTGGAGATGCCTCAATGAAGCTTTGTCTATATGGGAGAAGGAGAGGGGCAGGAGGAATTAGTTTAAGCACAACACTGCCATGAATGTTCTATTGATATAATTTGTTATTCTTAGCAGTAGGCAGCATGGTGTGAAACATGTCCTTGGATTTTTTAGGACAAAGATATCAAAGTGCTTTTTACTAAACTGCTATTCAGTATCCCCTTAGTTTTCAAGGTTAGCACCCACACTGAAGCATCACCTCTCAGCTAAAGTTTCAAGCTTTCAATCCACACAGAAGTTTTTGATTTATCTTCCACACTGAAACTTCAAAAAACTTCCACATTTAAACATTAAATGTTTAATGTTTAAATGACAGATGCTGGAGGTTTGTGTTGGTTTTTCCCCTCCTCTTTACCTCTAAATTTAATCCTGGAGTCAAGCAGTAATTTCAGCAACAATTTCAAGGGCACAGAAGAGAAATAGCCAGAACCTGTTACGGATACATAAACTGAGGTAGGAAAACAAGCAGCTACTATGCCTATGAGCCTTACTCAAGTCACTGAAAGATTACCTTCCAGAAAGAAGCACACAAAAGAAAATCTTGGGTAGTTTGTTATTAGTTTATTAAATCAGCAATATTTATCACTGCTCTCCAAAAATGATTACAAAGCATTTTAAAATATATTACAGTATCTGCAAGGAATTTGTTGTGTAATAAAAGTGCAACAATAATGAACTTACAACTTTGCCAACTTGGACAAACCAAAGCACACTGCACAGATCAAGACTTTCCTCTAAAGTTAGAGTGCCTTTGAAGAGAAAGCAATATATAACAAAAATACGTGAAAAGGTGAGCATGTGAAATTCTCTCAGTGCTAAGTTACACACACCCATCAAGCCATACACTTCAAACTCTGCTTGAGTTCCAACAATTAAAAAAGCCACCAAAATGAGTGCACATTGTGAAGGGAAGGAAGTGACAAGAAGAAAAAGAAGGTGTACTTCAAGTACTGGCGAAGAACAGTGTTGAAAGCCAGGGACTGGATACTTGCTGCTTTGAGACCAGGTTCCACACAAATCCACACCATCCCCAGTTGACAACTGGTATCTCACCCTGACTTCAAACATCTTTGCAAACTCATCATTTTCAAGATGTCACAGCTTTAAAATGGTCTCATCCTGTCCTGTATTGTGGTTTTGTGTGGTAGCCCCAAATTTTGTGTTCTAATCTACAACAAAACTCCCAGTTTCTGTGGGAACAGAACTAGGGCTGAAAATTAAACCTGTGTTGTGGAATAGTTGGATAAGAGGTAAAAGCAGCAGTTTCTATTTTGATTTATGGCAGTAGCCTACATCAGTGGGCACTGATTTCACATGATGAATTACTGACAGTTTTGAATGGCCTCACAAAAAACGTAATTGAAATCCTAGGCATAAAATGGCCAGTTAATCCAACATCTTCATCTCTCTTCAGCAGATATTACTAACAAACTGAACACCAAAGATTACCTCATACTGCTATTTCCAATAACTACTTACAGCACAATGTCATGAGAGAAGGCAATCCTGTTCACTTCTTATTCTTCTAACGCATGGATTCACTAACCCCACTGAACACTATCCAAACTGTTGTGTGTGGCTGGTGTAACTGAATGGGCCTGCAGAACCTGACAAGCCAGAAAGCCAGCAAGGCAAATGGGGTAGGCCCAGGGATCTGCAAGGAGGTAGTGAGAAAAGAGATCCCTTCCCCTGGGCAACAGCAACCTACTATGTGCAAGAAACTGCTGTTCAGAGTTCACATGAAATGTACTTTATTCTTATCAACTAAGTACAATGCTAGTGCACTGCATTGCACATCTAGAAATACATTTATATAGCTCCATATGCTGATCATGAAACACTTCTACTCCTCCAGACAGCCAGAGAAAATCTGCCTCTACTCCTATACATGCTTTGTGCATTCCCCTTCCAAATTCTACAGGAAAACAAAGTGAAATATTACAACTCCAACTCGGCAGAATATTTTAACTTATCAAAAATCTGTATTTCAATTTGTCTGCCTTAAGACCAAGTTAGCACACTGCCATGGAGACTGAGGAAAAGCCTGTATACTCCATTTTACTACCAGTAGAACTAGAAAAAAAATAAAATCACTGAAACTATCCTGCTCTTCTCACTGAAGGATATTTCTACTTGCATGGGATCACGTGGCTCCAATGCATTTGGAGCATCACCCCTGGAAGCTACACATGGTGGGAACTCAAACATGGGTCCACCCCTGTAACCCTATGCTGCTGCAGAGCAAGGTAAGGCAGAGTTGGAAGATCAGCAATTTTCCAGATCCTCTCAGCTTTGCCTACACCACAGTAGTCACAATATCTAAGCTTGCATTCTGTTTCCAGGTGACTTTTCCTCGCTAAGCTAGGCAGGTTGGTCAATCATGTATGACTTTGTTACTCACTGAAGACATTACCCACAAACAAGCATACATTACTTCTGTAGACTTTTTTTTCCCTTAACACCTGCAATGTCTATAGACTAATTTTGTTCAATCAAAAATAAATTACATGAAAATAGTTACTCTGCATATAGACAGTCACTGAGATAAACTTGGGGTCAAGTTTCACAGCTCTACTAAAGTGCACAGAGATGCAACTAAGGCTAATTTGGCTCCTAATTTAGATCTAACAGAAATAAAGTCATTATGCGTGAATGATAGGAAAAACACCTAAGAATTAAAAAAATAAATCAAGTTCTCAAGAACAATTTAACTATACCAGGACATCTGTCATACAGGCTGGGAAGCCTGACAAGGTCAAGGAGTTCTTCTGCTACTACCTAAAATAGCTTAATTGTTTTTCCATGGCAGAGCCCTGGAAGTTCATGGTAGTTTCACATCAGAAAGCAGATGCATCTGCACAGATGCAGAAAGCCAAGAAGGCCAGAAAGACCTAAACCTGACTGACAACCTACAAACATACAATTTGAAAAAAGAAGCAGAGGCTTTCTTAAGTCGCCTACAAATCCGAACACAGAAGTGTTACTTAATGGGAGACAATATCCCAACTGCTTCCTTCCCTGCCCCTACTGCAAGGATACTAAAACACTTTTTGGCTTGCTCTGTCTCAGAAGGCACTATTGCTACCACTTACTGAGATACAGAGTAAAAGTGCTCAAAACTACAGTAGCTTTGACATGTAGAGTACAAGTAGGGTATTTCATACTACAAAGGGAATATGAGACAATCAATCAATTAATCAAACTCACACACATAAAGCAGAACTGACTGCCAAGTTTGATTTTAGAAAAGAACTGGCCCTCCCTGAAAGACTCAAGTTCACAGGGCCAAAGATTTGCATTCATTTAAGGTACTGATAAAAACTAGTAGTAAGCAGACAGTATGTTCAACTTAAATTGTGTTGTTAGAAAACAAACATATCTTCAGAATAGACTCCTTTCATGGATTGTTTTCCATATAGAAATAATATGTGGAGGGATCAGTCTATCATTTATTACAGTCAATGTAACATTTCCTATTAGCCTCCCCATCCTTCAAATCTGCCACCATAGGAATCGAATCTCTCTTTTGTGGTTGTCAGCTACATGTTGGCAGAAGAAAGCATTAAAAACTTTCCTGAAATATATATTAAAAACTACACAGATATAACTGTATAATTAGCTGTTGATAGAAATTAATTATCAATGAAAATTTCCTAAGACAATTTGATGCACTATGAAGAGGCTGAATTTGAGCAATGTACTTTTTCTGAACAGAAAGCTAAGCTTGATTTCAATGCAAATGTGTTTTTAAGCTTCACTTTCACGCTGTCACTTTGAACTACCCAGGAATTTATAGTCTACAGAGGAGCTAAACTAAAACCTCAAAGAAAATTCTACATCCAAGGAGCAGAGATTCAGTTCTTCTAATGATAATACCGAATATATAGTGCTGTCTAAAACTGAAGAAGCTGTTCTTCAGATAATACGACACTATGAAAGAATAATTTTAACATTTTTCAGTTTTAGCTAGAATCACTAAAGTTTTAAAACAAGCCTGCTCATATCTGAGCACTTACAGGACTCTCCCAATCATTCTTTTATCTTTTTCTAACCCCCATTAAATAATAAAAAGAACAAAAATTAAATTTCCTTTTATATCAGCCTTTTCTTAAGCTATAGAGAGGCTAGCATTTGATGCCTAAAGTACATTTTTAGCATATAAATGCTCCTTACATAAGCAGATGAATTGAACATTTAGAGCTTCCTTGTGCTATTAAAATAGTGTGGAAAAACTTGTGGTGAATAAGTACTTAGATTTGGTGAAAGTCAGCAAGATTTATACACGGTCTTTTCTGTTTTATGGTTGTAAAGGCAGCAAGACATGGACACAGGACCATATCAACATTTTCACCATATGATAGATCTATATAAGGCACTTGTGATAAGTATGTCTGAGTGAAGGTCAGTAGGGGCAGCTACATCAGTGTTTCTCTGCTACCATGCTTGTAATTTAAGTAGCTTGTGTGAAATGTGCTATGAGGTTTTAAAATCTAAGCCTAATTTCAAATTTTGGTGATTTCAAGATATTTGTTGAGAATTTTTCAAAATTCTCATTCTTTGCCTTGTATTGTTCATTCTGCTGTCTGGAAAGGTTTCCTGTGAGATGGTGGCACCAGGTGAGAAGGTAGTGTGCCAGGCAGTTCATATCCATCCAGTTTAATCTTGATGAGATGTTTTGCTAGGGCAAACTCTTCATCATCCAACATCCCATCACCATCACAGTCTGCAAGTTTCCAGATCTTCCCCAAGACACTATTGGGTAGCTTAGAAGTCACCATCTCCTTCTTTGCACTAATCCCAGATATTTTGCCATTGATTGGTGACAGAGTGTAGAAAATCTCATCATAAGCAGGTTTATCTTTGGCAACAACCCATTCATCTTCATCAGCTCCTTCCTTAGCACCTTCTCCATATCCGTGGCCGAAAGGTCCTGCCATGGTGCCATCAAATGCTCCACCATGCACCATCTCTGTGGGCATATTGCTCTCTTCCTGTCTGATTAGGTTCATCAGGGAAGCAATTTTGTTGGCCAGCATGTTATCCACAGCTTCAATTAGCTTTGGTTTCAAAGAATGAAATTTAGTGAAGTCACAATTCTCCAACAGCTCCTGTCAATGACACAGGTTTCAATGACAGTAGTTAGAAACATTTCCAATATGCTAAAAAGTTCAAAGAACAGGCTTCAAATGAATCTGTTATCTTTTGAAGCTGTTTACATAACTGAAACTCCTCTTGAAGGAGAAACAAAACTGACATGTATGTACCAAACACCCAATATGTTGATCAAACACACTAAGACAATTTTGCAACAATATATATCTATTAGATTACATTTAGAATAAAACCTTCAAAATGGCAATGCAAAAAAACACAGCAGTTGATCAGTGTTACTCAGCAACTTTCCCTTTGATGATTTTCTTCCAAACATCAAAGAAAGCATGCAAGTAGGTCCTCATTTCTGCTAGCACTTATTCAAAAGTTTAAAGTTAAAAACAAACCCAAAATTTGAAGGACTGATCTGATTTTATAAATTAAACTTCTTCTTTGTAGTTAGGTCAGGAATAAGTGTCCTTTGCCAATAAAGAAAAGCTGAGTTGGGATAATAGCAACAGTGTTTTTATAGAAGTGCTGCCAGATTTCATGAAGTTATATGGTCCCTGTAGAGTTTGCAAAGTTTTCATCTTGAACATAAACTCCTACTAACCTCAGTGAGACGTTTAACTAGGTGATACGTACTATTCCAACACAAGCCCAAGCATGTTTTACACCAATTAGCCAATTATCAAATTATTTCTATTTGCAAAATGCTTGCCAGGCAGATAAAGTTGCAGAGGAAACTGTTAAGAAAACCCCAAACATCACCACCACCCTCCCTTAAAACAGTGTTAAACTGCTTTAACAAATTATGTTTATCACCTCAGGAAGCTACTCCCATACATACCGAAACGATAACATGAACCAAAGAAACCTGAAGTACAGGCTGAAAACAGTAAACCAACAACCATTACTCTATTCAGGTGACATTTATACACAATCACCTAATTTACAGCAATTGATCAATATAAATTTGTGTTGTGGACTAAATCTTAGGAAGCAAAGATGAAACCTGCTATCTGTTTTTTCACTCACAATTTTGCTCCTCATTACAGAAGTGACTGATCTCATGTATATATTTGCTGCCATCTGCTGCTGAGGCTTAAGCGACACACACTCAGTTTGAAAGAGTTTCACTCAAATTTTGTTTCAATATTCAAACCTCTCATTCTCTCATTTTACATCACAAACAAAAGCATCAAGGGAAGAAAGAGTCAACTTTTCCCATAGAATCCCTTCTTGAAGCTTACCTTGTGAAACCCTTCCAACAATCCTGCCTGTGAAAATCTAGCTAAAATACATCTTGTGCTTCATCTACAATTTACTCTCTCATGCCAATAGTTGGTTCCCAGGTAAAATATTTTAGTTCATTAAAGAAACTTGTGCATCCCTATAGATGAGTTAATCAGCCAGTCATCACTCTTGATGATCATCTGTGCAAGAGAACCACATACACCGTCAGAGTGATATGCAGCATCACTGTGGGAAACACCCTCCATCACACTCATGACTAGTTCATGGTCAGACCAAAACTGCAGGCTCCTGATCTCTTGATCTTCAGCTTCCAAGTTGAATTAACTTCTAATTCAAAGGTCATTTAAAGAAGCCTATGATCTGAGATCCAAAAATTGCAAATTGAGGCTTGAGGAATAAATTGGAAAGCATTACTAATACAACATTAGAGAGTATCCTAGTGAAGAACAGCTAAACAACTCATATCAAATCAGAGGATGGAAACAAAAATGCAAGAAAGTGATGGAAAGCTGGTTATAACGTTGCAGAAAGTTCAAAATTAACAGTGAGTATGAACTGAGAACATCTTTCTCTCTCCTGCACTGAAAACAAGCTTAACAGGACAGTCAAAAAAAGTGAAAGACCATTTTCAGAAGCAGTGGACTTTTCAGGTAACACACTGCTTTTATTACTTACTGGCAAACAGTAAGAGCAGGAACTGAATAGGATAAAAATGAACTTGTGACTAAGGATAACTTCATCTACACAAATACAAGATGGCACTACAAAAATTATATAAATGACCACATTTAGGATGTAAAACAAGAACCAGCTTAACCTGTGAGTGTTCACTACCATTTTACTTGCACTGAACCTTTAGTACTACCTGCCATGAGGGACCAAATAGTGACTGAAAGGACAAAAGGTCAGTTTCCTTATGGCAATGTCTGTAGTCCTGTAGGTGTAAACGCATACTAAGCAAGTTATCAATTTTTTGTGTGTTCTGTACTGCTTCCAAGTCACTCTAACCCCATAACAGACATGTTACTGTCACTTCAACTCTGCTGCTGAAGACCCTAAGCTATAAAGCTGAGATACTTTGTCCTACTCTTTGCAATTTGGCAATCCCATTAGAAAGTTAATATTATTTCAGTGGAATAGTAATCTATCATCTTACCTGCATTTTCTTGACTTCAGGGAAGTCCCCTGGGGAGATATGGTATTCTCTTTGCAGCTGGATGTAGATCTCTGGTAATCTGTTGATCAGTTCCTTCTTTTTGTTCTCTTTTCCAAATACAGAGGGCATCTCTTTTTTCAGATAGCTGATGATATAAGCATGAACCTAAGAAGAAGTAAAACTGAAATCAAGACTCCGTTTACCTACACTTAACATAAGTGTTCTTCACTCAGCTCATAAAAAGAAACAGAAATATGTTCCCCTAAGTCAGCTCAAGGAAAAGATATTATCAACTACTGCTTCTGGAACTTTGTGTTTACATGAACAGTTAGTTATCAACTAGCTTTTGCTGCATTCAGCATTCCTTTGAGGGGCAGAGACAAAGGAAACACATTTAAAAGAAATACAGATGCACATTTCCAGTTTAAGGAGAAGCACAGTACAGCATTCTATGAGTACCAACAGTGAGAGAAAAAGCAACGCCCCAAAACCCACGTTCTGACACTACACATGGAGCTCCAGCCACACTAGTCCATCTGTCTCAGTGGTAGAGATTTGTAACTTGTTTGCCTCACTAACTACTGAGAGAATTAATCCAAGTATGCTAAGTGGCAGTGCTATCTATTTGAACTGACATTGCATTCCTACCTATTTACTCACAGAAAAGCAAGTACTTATAGTCTATATTTGTACAGCCACCAGAGGATAAGAGAGCAGTCAGTATACTATAGGAACAGAATGCCATGGCTGTCTTGTGAACACAGGCTCTGACCTGGCCAGGACCACTTAAGACAAATGACCTTAACAGGATGCCTTTACAGAACTCGGATCCTTCTCCATTTAAAAGGATGCAGCCATCCACAAAAGTGAAGTAACTTAAAATTTTTATACACAGAGAAAAAAACAATGTTAAAAAGTAAGAACATCTATCAAACTGCTGACTGATAAAGAGCTGAAATATTGAAAACTGGGAGAAGGCAGACTATCATTAAAAAGTATCACTAAAAAAAGTGCTTTCTTAGATGTGATGTAAGTATAATACTTAATACCTACCAAACCATGACAGAATGGGCACTACAATATTCTAGACAAACCTTACACAATCTGTATATGTCAATTGCTCTCCCATTCATTTCCTTACTTATTTAGAGTGTTACTGTAAACTGGAAAAAAACAACTTTGCTTTTAAAGATAAATGATGTAACCAGTGTTAATTCGCACATCTTAAGTTCACAACTTTCACAAAACATCACTTCCCTATATCTAAAGAGAGTGCATGCATTTTAATTGCAAATAAATTTAAATATATACAGAGGACAAAAAACCCCCCGATGAGTTTCTGCATAATGAAGCAGAGTTTCTGCATAAAGCCATGAAATTTTCTATGAGGACAGATACGAGTATTTCTTGAGAACGACAGAACAGATTCAATAAGGAGAGTTATAAATAACTGTAAGTGATCTTACATCTAAAATACTACTTCTATCAAAGCCAGAACAGTATGTTTATAATTCACAAGCACTAACAGTTTCACATGTGTATGCTTAGTGGCCTAAGGTCTGCCAGTGTGCACATGTGTTTCTTGCAGATAAGAACTGTTCCCATCTTCAAAATGGGATAGTGAGTCACAGGACTTAAAAAAAACCCCAGCTTAATGACCAAATTTGACAGCACATTAATAATCTGCTTTTGTTTCTGGTTACTGCACATGTTTTAGAAGATATTAAGAACAGTGCAGCATAGAGTTAGGACAAAAAAATCCCTCCATACAATGCTGCAAAATAAAGACTTTTGAGTGTCAGTAGTTTGAGTTTAGTTTAGAAGAGAGAAAGACAACACTGGAAGGATTACATTGCTGCTTTCCTGCAGATAAACAGTTTATACCCCTTCCACAGCTGTCTTACTGACATATCCCTATAATAATTGCATTTTTTTACACACATCCATTTTTTTACACTTCATAGAAACAAAAATGATCCATTTGACACTCTTCCAAAATTCTTGCAATGAATTAAAGCAAAGAGCTGCAAATAACAGCCACAAACCAGACTGAGATCAGAGGAACTTTTAACACAACATCATCGTGATTTTAAATGGAATTTTCAAAAAGAAACTGCTACAGGGTGCCCTAAAGCTCAGACCACAAAAAAAGCCAAAATTAAGTGTATTGTTATATTCAGAAAGTTAAATAAGCCAACATAGTGGTACACATCCCTAAACAACTATTCATATATCAATGCAATTGTAAGTCCTCTTAATTTTTGCCTACATTAAAATGTGTTCCAAGACAACTGTATTAATTCAACTCACATTCTGTTTGATAACTGCACAGGAAACTAGAATTCCTGTCCGCTACCATCAGCTTTCTTGCTAAGTATTTCTGAAGTTAGTTTTCCTTCTTTTCCACTTTTCCAAATGACAAACTGTAATTCTTGAATCATCAATTTTCTTTTTGTTCTTGAGCTTTTCAAAACAACAAGAAACTTGGCAGTGCTTTCAACTAGTATTCTAACAGCAGCTACAGCGCTACAATAAAAAGCCCACTGCAGAATCAGAGAAACAGGCAAAGCAATATTTCAGACTGCAACGAAAGCTTATTGTAAATCAGGCTGCTAGAAGAAAGGACAGACTAATCTAGCATTGTTAAGCAGGGAGTCTGAAGATTAGTGTAAAATATAACCAGGAGGTTTTACAAATAGGTAATTAAAATTTGGCAATAATTCACAAAACTTCAGTGACATCCACTCATTCATCAGAGAGAGGTAGAGACCTATCAAAAAGATTAAACAGGTTTTCAACAGTCGCAGCATTGCCACATGCAGCCTGCCCACATGAACTAGTCAGTGACTAAGCTGCAGACAATGCATGTACTCCTCCAGAGCTGGGCTGTCCGGATATAGTGAAACAAAGTCTGTATCACCCAAGTGTGTCTGTGAGTGGGAATGAAGATATAATCTGAGGCTCAAAAGTTTCAATCTAATAATGCACAAGCACATCTCCATCAGCATCTGGCTTCACCAAAAGTGACTTTTAATCAGTCTTGTATTCCAGGGTGGAACATAAATGGATTTAGTCAGAGTGTTTTTGCACAACAGCCTAGTCACAGTATGCATTAAGGCATTAATATGCATGAAAGCATATGGCAGGTTGAATGTGAGTAGTTTTGATTGTGGTTTTTTACCACCTCTTCCCCACCTCTCCTTTAAGTGCTCTCTACTTTGTCAAAAAAAAAAAGTGGTGTGTCTCCAAAAAGTAGCATTAGGATTGCCTTGCTGCACAGTGTTAAAAAAAATAAATTCACTCTCCTATCAAGCAAACATGAGCTTTAACAGCCTAAAAAAAGCATCCAATTCCTTCTCCAAAGTTAGGGAGGCATCCTAGTAAAAGTCTCTATTTCCTCCTAATTGTTTCTATATCCTGAGTGACTACCTTTTCCTTGAAAAAGTGACAATTCAATTTATTTGCTGTAACACACAGTTTATAGTTATAGACAAACTGGGAAGGGTGAGAAAGGACACTCTGAAAGAGCAGCAGAGACTGCTCATTCAATTAATTTAGTTTTCTTATCTTTTCTTACCTTATAGTTTTCTTATCTTTTCTTACCTTTGCAAGTCTTGCCCTTTTAATGAGATCATTTAGTTTCCTCACAGCAGCCTTCTGTGGGAGACTCTGGATGTCCTTGAAAAGGTCCTGTGCCTCAGCTTCAAAGAGTCTTCTATTCTCTGTGTTTCGGAGAGGATGGGCCCAGAAGGAGCCAATGTAGACCCGCAGGACCTCTGGCGTGTCAATCACCTTTCCCAGGGACCACATGAGTGCACCATAGACCCTCATCAGCTGCTGTGTGTCCACTTGGTCAGCCTTATTAAGCACCACTCGAATCTTGTCATCCTGGCCCCGGAATGACTTAATAGCCTCTGAAAACTCATCAGATATATCCAGCTTGTGGGCATCGAAAAGGAGAATGATACGGTCGACCCTCTCAGCAAACCACTGCAGGACTTGGCAGAAGTCGTAGCCTGAAGGAAGAACACACTGTCATAGTCATACCATTCAGAAAAGCGGGTCTCAGAGAAGGTAGGGCTGGCAATAGAGAACAGGGGGATCATAGCCTCTACCTGGGGGGAAAGAGGAGATGTACCACCTGGAGGACAGTATCTGTGGACAATGAGATCAGGACAGTTGTATCCTGCATTTCCTTAGACTAGTCTCACTATTACCACTGCTTGTTTTTATCACTGTCCTTCTTTTGACCTTGTTATCCATGTATTATGTCGCTATCTTTTGTGCTGTTGTTACTGTCTCAGACCCAGGTTTGCCTCTTCCCAGAAGCTCTGGCTCCAGCAGAACACCCAAGCTAAACAGGAGTACAGGGCTCTTATCCCAATCTCTCTTCATCACAATATTGGCCATGTCAGTAGCACTGCTTATCTCAACTACCAAGGAAAATAGTGGACGTGCAGCACTCCGATATAAGTCAGCATCTATAAATATTTAGATTTTAAAACAATTTCCAAACTCATCTCTCCTTGCATTGCAACACTTGCTGTTATTTCTGCCACAGCAGACTCAAAAATTTACAAGTAATGTGACTGCATTTCTGATGGCTTTGAGGACATGACAGGTTACAGTACACCAGCAGTGACCTTTCTGATCATCTGAAACAAGCTTTATCATGTTCTAAAGGAAAGTCTATTCATAGCACCTGTCTAAAGGCTTTGTAAGTGCAGCTGGTACCTAATCCACGCAACAAACAGTATTCAGGGACTTATGCAGAAGTGACACATCTAATCCGCAGAGTCACTGGTGATGTGACATTGTGCTTGGCATGGATGTGACTCATCTTGTATGAGTAAGGAACAGCAAGGTATGAGCTGGGAGCTGATACTTCTTTCTCTCAGAAACAAACCAGACCTGAAAGATGGAGCAGTCAAAATTCATGGACTAGTTTAAAGTAATCCAAACAGAATCAACTGTTTTGCTCCCAGCAGCATATATTTAAATGGTAACAGCAAAAAAAGCTCAGTTACCACCAGTAAGCCCTTCAGGGCATCTTTGGTCATTTCTCAGCTGTGCAAGATAAGCCTTTAAACCTCCAATCCCCCAGCAAAGAAAACCCAATTAGACTCCTCGTATAGGAACCTAACACTTCATACACTTGGTCCAGATAAAAGCAAAAGATGCTTCATCACTCCTCATTCTTCCTAGCATCTTTTAAACAGTGTAAATAAAAGGGTGATGAAGGGAATATTGTAAAGTTGCTTAGCTTTTCCTAATGCTGGTTCAGTCAAGTCATTATTCATTATACCTTCAAGCTGTTGGTCTTCAACAGGGAACCCAAAAGCAAATCAGCTGTTTGGTTTTTGGTGGGGGGTTTTTGGTGGGGTTTTTTTGTTGTTGTTTGTTTGTTTAGGTTTTTTTTGCTTTCCAGTAGAACCTGATTAGTACCAACATCAAGAAAAGCAGACATACATGAATATAATAGGAAAAAATGAACTCAAAATTTGTCACAGCGCATACTTGTGCATGTTTAGCAACACAGGAAATAACTTAGTCTTAAACCTTTTGTTTAAAAATTACAAATGGCATATGAAATTAAGTCCAAAAATTTATAGTAAGAAAATATCCCCAATTACCTGTATTCACTATCCCCACCTCCAACTGTCATAAAACTTCACCAAAAACCCAGCACAGACACCTCAAACTGTGAAAGGAGGGGTTGAATGTGAGATGAAAGTCAGGGGGGCAAGGAGGAAAGGTGCACAAAACATCTCTGCAAGAGAACTCTTCTCACTTTACACTAAGAATCTAATCAAAATAAGTATGAACAACTTATAAAAATTTAGGAGGAAAGAAAGAGAGAAGTGAGAACTTCTATGTCACCTGCATGTTGCAACATTGCAGCAATACTGAGCTATGCAATAGCCTGTTCTGACTTCACTCACATAGGATGGTTGAAATTAAATAAAATTGCAAACTGAAGCAAGTTAAATTTGATTAAGTTTTCCACAAATGGCTACATGAGAAGAAGACTCTGGTTAAACAAATATATATTTTCCCACCACATATTTGACAGACTGTGAACTGAAAAAGCAGCTGTACAGTCAACAAGAGTATAAATAAATGAATTTATTTTAAAAGTGGATTAAATATTGATGAAGCATTTGCTTTGAGAAAGAAAAGTCTGCTTGTTGAAAATTGCTAAGACCTCAAAGAACCCTGAAAAAACATCCATTTTAATGAAAATGAATCATTAGCATTGAACATAATTTATATACAGATTCAGCACTTATACAGTAGAGTATATCTGAACTACAGAGAAGTGATATATGGTTAAGTATTTCCATACATGTGTGTGGATTAGGGCTTGAGCAGTACTAGCTCAACACTGATCAAACTGGAAAACCTGACAGAACCAATTTTGGTCCTGATACTTCTCAGCCTCTTGCTGCTCTAACTGCTGCTATTTCTTCAAAGGTTTGCTCCCAACAACTGATGCCAACAATTATACCCAGACAGAGGACCTCTGCCTCATCCGGTTCTATACCTACTTGTAAATGCATGTTAGAAAGTCACAAGTCACCCTTGTACCCAGCTAAGGGACAGAGGAAGTCAGCAATCCACTGGCAGCACTGCAGAGCTCTTGACATCGTCATACACTGCAGGGAGGGGGTGAGCTGGTGCCTCTGACAGAGGCATAACTGTTGGGCATCAGTAATGGGGCTGAGCAGAGACTACAGAGGAGAACAAAATGAAACAATGCAGAAGAGATGAAAAAGCTGGACAGACACTGCACGCAGTTACCAGCCCTGGAAACACTGATGAATGATCATGCACTCACATGTATCAGCAGCACAGGGCCAAGTACCAGCCCTGTGCACAACAACTGCCAGCCACACTCAAAGATACAGCTCGCAGTTGTGCAATTTGAGCATAGGTCAATTTTCTGTGCCAGTTAGTAATACAGATTTAAACAAGTGGTTGTCTTGTCCTTGTTGGTCAAAGGTAAATGATTTATGACTTGTTCTAATACCATCTTCCAAAGCTTTTGCAATTCAGAAAACAATCTGGGAGGCTTGATGGACTCCACCCATCCTCATTCAGTGCAGACAGGCAGAGCGTCCAGTTCTTCCACCCCTGGGGCTGGCAGCACTGGCACAGCAGCAGAGGCACCTCTCAGGCATGTGCTGCAGTGAGGAGCCTCCAAAGCACAAAGAACAGCACCCACTCACCAGATCAGTCATGTGTGGGCAGAGTGCTGGAGCAATGCCATCTGCCATTGCTGTTTTAGCACAACACCCCCAAAAGCATAACACAACTTGGACATAAACAAGTGCAGCCTTTCTCTCCTGCCCAATCTGCTGCACTGCTAATGCCACAGGTGAGCATCTAAACTTCCCAGTCTTTCAAACAGAGCTCAGTCATGCATGGGAAAGCTGCACCCTCTGCTATCTGGAGTGGAAATTTCCAGTTTATTAATGAAAGCCTGTCTCAATCCAGCACTCCTAAATAACACTCTTACTGCACTCCCACTAGTGGACTAATCATAAGGAAAATGTACAGTACCTCACTGCAAGGGAAAACCTGACACAATGCTGCAACTATTTCATAGCTCATAACTAACATAATTCATAACTACATTTCCACGAGCAGATTGAACTGACAAGATTACCTGTATGTAACTCCAGTTTTAAAAACGCAAACTAACCAATATCTATTTTCCCCTGAGCCCCTTCCTCACACTTCCTGAGACACTTGCCTTCATGCCAGTCAATCATGAACCACACCCTCTTACCCTGAAAGGAGTTCCTCTCCCCCAGACACTCATTATTCCTTCCAAATCTTACAGACCATAAGCACATTTCTGTCTGACAGTGGTGTTGTGAGCATCACCAGTGACGCTGCAGAACAGGCACAGGCACAGGCATTGTCTGACCAGGGACAATGTGCAGGCGTGTGCCAGCATTCTCCTCCATCCACTTATACAGCCCCTGAACTCACAGGCAGGAAGCTTCTGGCACATCCTCCTATCGACAACAGGAGCAGCAATGGTGTGTCAAGAGAGGCAGCTCTGAATGTTGCACTGTGTGTATATTTTTTATCTTCAAGCAACCAGCTCCTTCATCCATGGCCCGGATGCTTTTCAGACTTAAAAATAGTGCATGTCTTATATTTTTACATAGTCCCTTTACTGTTTTCCTGCATTTTAAAACTGAAAGTTAACATTTGATTCCTTTCTTGAGTGTCAGAAGGCTTCACCTTGCTCCTAGTGATCCCTGTCAAACTTTATCATTATGCAGGTGTTATATTCATGCATAGGTAAACAGTTAAGCAATTGCTTGTGAGAAGATGGAAAAAGACCCCAGCAGCAAAGAGTTAAGGTTTTACACTGAGGTCGTGTATTGTTATTCTTCCATCAAGCACTTTAAAACATCACCACTAAGAACAGCTGCTGCTCATCAATGTTAGACACAAGCTAAGCTTCTAGAAAGAACCTTCTCTTTCAGAGACAGATTTAGGGGCCGCAGAAAACATGTTGTAGAATCCTGCTTACATTTGCACACAGTGATCTAAAAAGTAATCAAAGCAACTCAAACTTCAAAGCATGCTAAATCAGACTTGTAGCATAAATACGCTGAAGTCAGACTGACTCATTCAGGAAGCAGGTCAGGTAGGCCTTGCTGTGTGCAGCGTCACAGGACAAGTCAAGTTTGTACTCCACGAAACCACCTACATAGAAACTGCATAAGCAGCCCAAAAGACATATACAGAAAATGTTTATGACTATGCAATATTTCAGCCAAGAGTGAGCACAGTATTGCCTAATAATGACAGTAGGAAATAGGTGCATGCAATAAGTCCATAGTCACTTGCACATAACTTCACATACTCTGGTACTTAAGTATATGAAACCTCTAACCTGCCCTGAAAGCCTGGGTTGCAGAGAGAACACTGCTTAAAAGCCATCTCCCAAAATCTTACATATGGTATGACCACACTGATTAAACCTAACAGCATACATTTGTGATAAAACAACTATGACAAGTGGCACATTCCAGACAACCCTTAATACATTTTTAAAAAAATTCACGAAGTGCAATTTAATCAAGTTAAACCCTGTGAAACAAGTAAGAGTTTCAGGTAATCAGTGAACGATGTCAACTTAGGTGAAAGTCTAACCAAAGGGCAGGCCAACTAGGCCATAACAATTGATAAGGCACATACCATCACGAAACAGTTTCTGAACAATAAGGGATCAAGAGTCATACGTTTTGTTAAGTCACAAGAGCAATTCGAGATGGCAGTGAAAAGCTATATCCTTTAGGCAACACAGGACTACCAGTGAAACATAACCTGCTGTCTTGTACATGGAAGTCTGAGACTTCCACAGCAAACTCTAATGGTGTTGAACTTGATTACACAATTCCTCACTTTTTCAGTGGTATATTAATACAATACTCTAGTTTTCTGCTTATTTCATGTTCACTTCCATACTGCTAGGAAAATGGCAAGATATACTTGAATACTGCCAAGTATCATTTTCTCCTGATTTAACAAGCAAAGAAGGAGTAAGATGCACCTAGGTTTCCTTCAAGGAGGAAAAATGGAGCTGGAAGTCCAATGGAAAAGCAGAAGTTTGAGATTTAAAACCATCCTTGATTTTATCAGACTCTGTAAACTGAGGCTTAAACATTTTGTGTACATTTTATGAGAAGACTTCTTCAGGATTAAAGATTATTAGTTATACACTCATTATTTCTGTTTAGAAATAAGTGTGCCAACATGCAGTATTTATTTCTGATTTCACAACATTCAAACCTTTGTTTGCAGACAAAGCACTCAGGCAGTTCATCTCTGTAGTTCACCAATCTATCATGTAAAACACAGCACTCCCTGCATGATGAATGCTTTACATGACTATATGAGTAATAAAGAGGACAAAATGTCACTGAACAAACAATCCAGAAACATCTAGTAAACCAGTTTACTAAGCAAGCATAATTTAGATTACAGTCCTAAGAAGTTAGTCCCTTATTTGTCAGTGTAGTATAAAGACAAGACTATTATTGCACAGTCGCCATGTTGTTCTCATACCAGGATTTCCAAAAAAAACAAAAAACACCAAAAAACCCAGGTGTGAGATGTTAGAGAACTGTTTATTTCCTCTCACACAGACATGAAACCCAAGTTTCCACTTCTTAAGCAAAGGTCTGAAAACAGAAGCCAGCAAGCCACACACTGGATCACTACCATTTACAACTCCACAGAAAACTGACATGCACTTAAAGCAGCTGAAGAAAGCAAGGGAGAAAACTGTTTACATTATGCTGTTTGTTTAACTAGTTTCTCCAAGACTAATATCTCAAGCAGCTTGTTAAACAGCATTCAGTTCTTTGCAGATTTCTCACATGATAAAAAATATTCTCAGTCCCCCTTCTTCCTGCTACCTTAACTCTTCTAACTAAAAGTCATGTTACAGCATGACTGAGAAACCTTAAGAAGCAACACTAGCAGCTGTGCCCACAATAAACCCACCTTATTTATAGCCCAATCCCTTCATTCTTCTTACATGCCCAACCTATAGCTATTATGAAACATTTCTTCACAAACTTCAATGGTATATATGAGTATATTCATTATTACTTTGTAAAAAGCAATTAAAATGATGAAAATACTACTTTTTCTCGGGAGTGTCAAAACACTAATTAGTCAACAGACCATGCAGCCGTAGCCATTTGCAGCCATAGCAGCAGGATGACAGAACCCCAAACCCATCGGTTTTCAAGAGAAAAAAATCCAAACCCTATATCCAGCCTTAAGATACAGTTTTAACAGGGCTTTAAGTAAGAAGGTTTGGGACACACCACCACTCGGTACTAGTCAAATAGATTAGGACACTGACTTGTCTAGCAGAGCAAAAAAAGAGTTAATGAGCTTAGTTATTGTCAAGCCCTGCAACTCACCCCTGCTGATGCGTTGCTTCTCTCCAGAGAGAATGCCAGGGCTGTCGATGATACTGATGCTCTTCAGTACCTGGTTGGGTAACTGAGAACACATAAACCTGCAGGAAAAAAGGAGGGGAAAAAAACATTAACAACAGCTCTCACACATAGATTGTCACTTGAGAGTTTCCCATTATGTATCTGATTTTAGAAAGACTCAAGTGACGTTTAAAAAAACGTTTCTGAAGTCCTGATGAATCCCCCTGTTTGGCAACCATGCATGTTTCAGAACAAATATAAAGAAAGCTTCTCAAAATAGAATACACAGGAAAACCTTGTATAACTGCATGTCTAAGTGCTGATAAAGCTTCAAATATTGCAAGAGCTGACAATATGGGCCCTCAATGCAACATTAAAGACTCCACCAAACCACCATTTTGCTAGGACCAAAATTAGTATACACAAAAGAAAATTCTTCATGGACCCCAACTTACACCCAAACTCAAAGAGACTGAAAAGGGGAGCAGGCAGAAAGCTATACTGACAATATATTTATGTTTCAGTCCCTGGCACATCTCCCTCCCACCTGATCCAGCAGTGTTAAATCCCCCTCCCCCCTGATCCAGCAGTGTTTGAGCAGTCCCCACTCCTTACCCCACCACTCTCCCCAGGTGGGGCTTGTGAAAACAACAGTATTGCTCCCATAAACCCAGCCAAAACTTCCACACTGCCAGAACCAACAGCTCAAATTGCACACAGCATGGCCTAAACAATAACCTCCTGCCTCTGCACTGAAAGACAAATTCAATGGTGGTATTAAATTATTTATATATTAATAATAAAATATTAAAAATTGTCAT